AATATTTTTTTGGCGCCCCGCTGGGCCCGTTGGCTACCGTTCATCCTGAGCCATGTGGTCAGCCGAACCGTGGGTATTTTTGAAAAGCTAGCCGCTGGAACGTGTTTGCCTGGACTTTGCATTGTTGTAAATTTTAATTTTAGGACCCATGGGCGCTGGTCTCGTAGGTCGAACATGGAAGAACGTATGAATTGTTTTGCTGAAAGTGGCGAGCACAACACCGATACCATTGTTTAGGCAAAGTATAAAACCCTAGGGTTTCAGACGGTCAGCATCAGCTTCGAGCTTTTTATCTACTCTTTCCACTTCAGTAAGCTTTTTCTCTCGTTGCAACAGGTTACTGTAGCTCGAATTAAAAACCTTCTTTTAATAGCCACAGTACCATGCCTCGTAGGATCCTCTTTTAGACAATTTCAAAAGTCCCCTAGATATTCTTACCAGCAAAGTATCTTAGGCGTTAGTGGTTCATGGTGTTAGTTCAAAATTCTCTAAATACCTTTTGCTATAGCCTCAAATAACCAAATTTCGCCTATTGCAGCTGAAAGGCGCAATTTTTAGGGGGCCTGTAATAGTCACAAGGTCGAAAACGGATTTTTCAAATTTTGTTCGAAACCTTTCGGCTGTTCTAAATACCCTTAGAAACCTAGTCACCCCATTTAGCAAGATGTCGTACACGGTCCGCATCGCCACCCTGTGCCTCCTCGCTTCGGCTACCGTAGCCCAACTGAGCCTCGGCTCAAACGAGCAAGCCGCCACTGACTGCCTCCAATGCCCCAACCCAATCGGAGACATCAAGGCACTGGCTTGTGCTGTTGATTGGAGTGAGTCGTACTCCCTTCCACTCAAATGTCTTTTCTATTTCAGTCTCCAAACTGCGTATCCTCAACAAGACAACCACTACCATTGGAGGACAAACTGTTGATGCTTACACCCTGGAACATCTTGATATTCTGAAGGGAACCCTCGAGATCCCATCCCTGATGATTGTGCCAAATGGCCCCTGTGGACTCGTGCTCAATGTTGATGCTGAGTACCTCATCTCTGGTATGATCATCTACCAACAATCCATCCTTTTCTAGGTGTTCTGGCTGGAAAGAGCGCTCTTTTCACGAATCTGTGCCTTCAAATCCTCCAGACTGCCGAGCCACTTCTCGACAAGGTCAACCAGGGACTTCTTGGAGAGGTGTCTGATCTTCTCTGCAGTGTCTTTGATATCCTTCCCACGTAAGAATACTAAAGAATGCTCTAGCTACAGTATCCTTTAGCCTTGACACGTGGTTGGCTGGAAATGGAGGTCTTCTCGGACATCTTCTTGGAGCCAACGGAAATCCGCTTCTCGATGGTAAGTAGTTAGGGGGTAGAGAGAGAAATACATGATCATCTTCAGGTCTGATCGGTGGCCCATCTGGAGCCCCTGGTGTTGTTGATGGTCTTCTCCTGAGCCTTCTTAATGGCCGTCTGGCAGCTGGACTTCTCGGAAATGCCCTCGACAATAATACTGGCCTTCTCAGCGGTCTGCTTGGTGGACTTCTTGGCGGAAATGGAGGAGGACTTCTCGGTGGATTGACTGGTGGTCTCACTGGTGGAAATGGAGGAGCTGGCGGACTTCTTGGAGGAGTTCTCGGCGGAAACGGCGGAAGCGGACTTCTCGGAGGTCTTCTTGGTCGCAAGTAGATCGGAGCGCACTCCAAAGTACCACACCCCTTGTTTGTATTTACGTTCCAATGTGGAAAGCGCTGCAATAAATGGATTTTTTTTACTTAGCCGCAAGGTTCAAGCAGTTCAAACATGTCCATATATCTTTTTATTTGCCTCCTCTATCGAGATACGACTGGAACATACAGACAGTTGTTGCATAAAGAACACACAGTATTTTTTATATACCTAATAAACACCCATTAGATAGGCGAGATCCGCTATTTTTCTATCGATTCAGATTTGTTAAATAGCAATTTTCCGGCCGAGTCAACAACAATTCCCTTGTAAGATTTTCTCCCCTCCCGTAAAAGTATCCGCGACCGTTATCAAATGTTCAGAAAACAGACCTCTGATCATGCGAATTCACGCCGGATGATATGGCTTGGGAACTACTGTACATTACTTGCAGAATGCTGGAGACATTGAGTTTTTTATTGCTGCGGATGTGGTCGAGCGAGAAAATGTTCAATGTCCAATTGTCCCATGCAATCAACTATAATAAAAAAGTTAAGACGTCCGTCCGTCCGTGTGTCTGAAGCCGAATTCAACTCGAAGGGGAAAGGAGCTAGAGCTTAGCTCTCTTCGGATTCGGATAGAGCGCCCTCAGAAACCCCTAAACTGATAAAAAAATTATGAAAAAGTTTTAGTTTAACTTATTAAAATTAACTTTGAAAGTTTTCTCCTTAGTAAAAGGGTGGGGGACGGAGGTTGGGCTGATTTTGGACATAGTGAGCCAGGTCGCGCGCGTTTCGTGGATGAAAATTTTCACGGGGGATTTCATTTCTTTTTTTCTCTAATTCCATCCGGTCGGTCGTTATTTTCGTTTTTTAAACGGGATTTTGGCTAGGGGAGGTATCTAAAGCCATCAGGAAGGTATTTAGGTAGTTTTTGAAGGGGATTTCAGCCATGGGGGGTATCTGTAGCCATCAGGAAGGTATTTAGGTAGTTTTTGAAGGGGATTTCAGCCATGGGGGGTATCTGTAGCCATCAGGAAGGTATTTAGGTAGTTTTTGAAGGGGATTTCAGCCATGGGGGGGTATCTGAAGCCATCAGGAAGGTATCTAGGTAGTTTTTGAAGGGGATTTCAGCCATGGGGGGTATCTGAAGCCATCAGGAAGGTATTTAGGTAGTTTTTGAAGGGGATTTCAGCCATGGGGGGTATCTGAAGCCATCAGGAAGGTATTTAGGTAGTTTTTTGAAGGGGATTTCAGCCATGGGGGGTATCTGAAGCCATCAGGAAGGTATCTAGGTAGTTTTTGAAGGGGATTTCAGCCATGGGGGTATCTGAAGCCATCAGGAAGGTATCTAGGTAGTTTTTGAAGGGGATTTCAGCCATGGGGGGTATCTGAAGCCATCAGGAAGGTATCTAGGTAGTTTTTGAACGGGATTTCGGCTGTGGGGGGTATTGATGGAGGTGGGAAAGGATGTGGTAGAGTGGGACATGTAGGGTAGCCCGAAGCCCAGATGGTTGCAGTCGCGAAGCGACTGTAACCATCTGGTATTATAATATAACCAAAAATTTTGGACGGTTTTTGGATGAAAAGTTAGGTTTAACAGGTAGTTAGGGTAGTCCAACTCTACAGGGTGTCTCAAGATTATCCGGACAAAACGTTTTTAATGGCTAACTTTTAATAAAAAATAGGGTCACGAGCGCCTAAATTTATTGAAAACAACAAATAGACCCAAAAATCTTAATTTTTGAGCCTGATCACCACGATTTTAATGGATAGAAAACTTGAACAGCTTCCACAAATAAAATAGCCGTTTCTCGTGTCTCTTTTTGCCAAATCGTGTCCAGAATTTTTTAAGGAGCATAATCAGACGCGCATGTAAGCGATGTGACATGCTACAGACATTTGTCTACAGCGTAGAGGAAGAAAACGATAGGCTGGCCCAATTTGGAAAATTTGTGGCTCTTAGGAAATTCGGCGTTCTTGCGGCTTGTAAGCGTCGAAAAATCACGTTTAACTTTATTCTGTTCATTACAAAGATTTGTGGCTACTTCTGCCAGATTTTTCTAAGAATTTATCTTAATGGGGCCTGAAATAGTAAGGAAACTCCCCTACTGGCCCTGAAGCCACCAAAAATCAGAAAAACAATCGGTTTAAAAATGTGTCCGGATAATTCTGAGACACCCTGTAGTCAAATTTGGGGACCGTTTGGGGTATAATCCAAGAAATGGTAGTAGGGTATAATCGTGGGAGTTGTTTTTATGCAACAACTGGCAAACACAGGGAACAAAAAGAGAAAACGGAATTAGCATTGGTGCAACGAGAGCCGAACGGGGATACGGTAGCGGTACGTCAAAACACGCGCGCACCCGCTCGACCGGAATGCGACCTGCTACCCCACCACGCTCTTCCCATTTTTAGTACGGGTGATAGAACTGCACCACCGAACCATCACCTTGATCACCCTCGCTCCCATTTTTCATCTTATTTGTTGCCAAAGGAGGGAGATAAACGTCAGCCCAGAGAGAACTTGGTTGAAAATTATATAAATATCAGCCCTGAACCCCCGCCACGCGGGGCTCAGCGCTGGCCCTCCCCCGCCCCGCCTACAATTTGAATTTGGAATTTGAATGCAGAATTTTCAAATTGCGAGAAAGTCCCGAACTTCGAAATTTCGAATCCACCTGGTCAGTGGTCAACAAAGTATTTCCCCAGTGGAGATTCAGGAAACTCGGCTGGAAAAAGTGCTTTCAATACAAGGCCGAGGTTCGGAGAGCGGCTTCTGCCCCCGTATGCTTTTAAAAAGCTTACAAATGAAACAATTTCCGGTATATTGTACCGCTAGAACTTGTGGATCCGTTAGAAATTCATCAGTTTTTGAAGCGTATGGAAAACAAAAAGTGTTGTGTTGCGTTCTTTACTGTTTGAATCTGGGGTTAAGTAAAAAAATCGATTTATTGACAGGCCTTCCACAATGGAATGTAAATACAAACAATGGGGGCTAATCGGGCAAAGTGCTCCGATCTACTTCCGGCCAAGAAGACCTCCGAGGAGTCCGCTTCCACCGTTTCCGCCGAGAACTCCGCCAAGAAGTCCGCCAGCTCCTCCATTTCCACCAGTGAGACCACCAGTCAATCCACCGAGAAGTCCTCCTCCATTTCCGCCAAGAAGTCCACCAAGCAGACCGCTGAGAAGGCCAGTATTATTGTCGAGGGCATTTCCGAGAAGTCCAGCTGCCAGACGGCCATTAAGAAGGCTCAGGAGAAGACCATCAACAACACCAGGGGCTCCAGATGGGCCACCGATCAGACCTGAAGATGATCATGTATTTCTCTCTCTACCCCCTAACTACTTACCATCGAGAAGCGGATTTCCGTTGGCTCCAAGAAGATGTCCGAGAAGACCTCCATTTCCAGCCAACCACGTGTCAAGGCTAAAGGATACTGTAGCTAGAGCATTCTTTAGTATCCTTACGTGGGAAGGATATCAAAGACACTGCAGAGAAGATCAGACACTTCTCCAAGAAGTCCCTGGTTGACCTTGTCGAGAAGTGGCTCGGCAGTCTGGAGGATTTGAAGGCACAGATTCGTGAAAAGAGCGCTCTTTCCAGCCAGAACACCTAGAAAAGGATGGATTGTTGGTAGATGATCATACCAGAGATGAGGTACTCAGCATCAACATTGAGCACGAGTCCACAGGGGCCATTTGGCACAATCATCAGAGAGGGGATCTCGAGGGTTCCCTTCAGAATATCAAGATGTTCCAGGGTGTAAGCATCAACAGTTTGTCCTCCAATGGTAGTGGTTGTCTTGTTGAGGATACGCAGTTTGGAGACTGAAATAGAAAAGACATTTGAGTGGAAGGGAGTACGACTCACTCCAATCAACAGCACAAGCCAGTGCCTTGATGTCTCCGATTGGGTTGGGGCATTGGAGGCAGTCAGTGGCGGCTTGCTCGTTTGAGCCGAGGCTCAGTTGGGCTACGGTAGCCGAAGCAAGGAGACACAGGGTGGCGATGCGAATCGTGTACGACATCTTGCTGAAGGGTAGGTTGTTGTAATGGCATTTAGTTGTGTAATCAGCTTGATTAAGCAGAATTAGTTGAACACCAAAGCTATAGTCAAGAGTACAGTTTTGTGCCGCGTTGCTAAACAACCCTGTCAGGAAATTTGAAAGTTAGAGAAACTAGAGGATACATCTAAAGCTACAAGTTTCCGGAGCGAAAGTACTGTAGAACGTGAAAGCCGAATTTTTTTTGATTTTGCCTAAGCGAGCTAACTTAAATTGGAAGTCGAAAGAAACTTACTGGACTGGAAAGAGTAGCTGATGCTGACCATCTGAAACCCACTGCTTTTATATCGAGTTCGAACGGCCAAAACCAATCTCGCAAGCGCCATTACAATACCATGTTTTCGAACCCAATAGTCGTGCCAAAACAAACGACCCGTCTAGTCGAACCCGGGCTAAAATATTTTTTTGGCGCCCCGCTGGGCCCGTTGGCTACCGTTCATCCTGAGCCATGTGGTCAGCCGAACCGTGGGTATTTTTGAAAAGCTAGCCGCTGGAACGTGTTTGCCTGGACTTTGCATTGTTGTAAATTTTAATTTTAGGACCCATGGGCGCTGGTCTCGTAGGTCGAACATGGAAGAACGTATGAATTGTTTTGCTGAAAGTGGCGAGCACAACCCCGATACCATTGTTTAGGCAAAGTATAAAACCCTAGGGTTTCAGACGGTCAGCATCAGCTTCGAGCTTTTTATCTACTCTTTCCACTTCAGTAAGCTTTTTGTCTCGTTGCAACAGGTTACTGTAGCTCGAATTAAAAACCTTCTTTTAATAGCCACAGTACCATGCCTCGTAGGATCCTCTTTTAGACAATTTCAAAAGTCCCCTAGATATTCTTACCAGCAAAGTATCTTAGGCATTAGTGGTTCATGGTGTTAGTTCAAAATTCTCTAAATACCTTTTGCTATAGCCTCAAATAACCAAATTTCGCCTATTGCAGCTGAAAGGCGCAATTTTTAGGGGGCCTGTAATAGTCACAAGGTCGAAAACGGATTTTTCAAATTTTGTTCGAAACCTTTCGGCTGTTCTAAATACCCTTAGAAACCTAGTCACCCCATTTAGCAAGATGTCGTACACGGTCCGCATCGCCACCCTGTGCCTCCTCGCTTCGGCTACCGTAGCCCAACTGAGCCTCGGCTCAAACGAGCAAGCCGCCACTGACTGTCTCCAATGCCCCAACCCAATCGGAGACATCAAGGCACTGGCTTGTGCTGTTGATTGGAGTGAGTCGTACTCCCTTCCACTCAAATGTCTTTTCTATTTCAGTCTCCAAACTGCGTATCCTCAACAAGACAACCACTACCATTGGAGGACAAACTGTTGATGCTTACACCCTGGAACATCTTGATATTCTGAAGGGAACCCTCGAGATCCCCTCTCTGATGATTGTGCCAAATGGCCCCTGTGGACTCGTGCTCAATGTTGATGCTGAGTACCTCATCTCTGGTATGATCATCTACCAACAATCCATCCTTTTCTAGGTGTTCTGGCTGGAAAGAGCGCTCTTTTCACGAATCTGTGCCTTCAAATCCTCCAGACTGCCGAGCCACTTCTCGACAAGGTCAACCAGGGACTTCTTGGAGAGGTGTCTGATCTTCTCTGCAGTGTCTTTGATATCCTTCCCACGTAAGAATACTAAAGAATGCTCTAGCTACAGTATCCTTTAGCCTTGACACGTGGTTGGCTGGAAATGGAGGTCTTCTCGGACATCTTCTTGGAGCCAACGGAAATCCGCTTCTCGATGGTAAGTAGTTAGGGGTAAGAGAGAAATACATGATCATCTTCAGGTCTGATCGGTGGCCCATCTGGAGCCCCTGGTGTTGTTGATGGTCTTCTCCTGAGCCTTCTTAATGGCCGTCTGGCAGCTGGACTTCTCGGAAATGCCCTCGACAATAATACTGGCCTTCTCAGCGGTCTGCTTGGTGGACTTCTTGGCGGAAATGGAGGAGGACTTCTCGGTGGATTGACTGGTGGTCTCACTGGTGGAAATGGAGGAGCTGGCGGACTTCTTGGAGGAGTTCTCGGCGGAAACGGCGGAAGCGGACTTCTCGGAGGTCTTCTTGGTCGCAAGTAGATCGGAGCGCACTCCAAAGTACCACACCCCTTGTTTGTATTTACGTTCCAATGTGGAAAGCGCTGCAATAAATGGATTTTTTTACTTAGCCGCAAGGTTCAAGCAGTTCAAACATGTCCATATATCTTTTTATTTGCCTCCTCTATCGAGATACGACTGGAACATACAGACAGTTGTTGCATAAAGAACACACAGTATTTTTTATATACCTAATAAACACCCATTAGATAGGCGAGATCCGCTATTTTTCTATCGATTCAGATTTGTTAAATAGCAATTTTCCGTCCGAGTCAACAACAATTCCCTTGTAAGATTTTCTCCCCTCCCGTAAAAGTATCCCCGACCGTTATCAAATGTTCAGAAAACAGACCTCTGATCATGCGAATTCACGCCGGATGATATGGCTTGGGAACTACTGTACATTACTTGCAGAATGCTGGAGACATTGAGTTTTTTATTGCTGCGGATGTGGTCGAGCGAGAAAATGTTCAATGTCCAATTGTCCCATGCAATATTATAATATAACCAAAAATTTTGGACGGTTTTTGGATGAAAAGTTAGGTTTAACAGGTAGTTAGGGTAGTCCAACTCTACAGGGTGTCTCAAGATTATCCGGACAAAACGTTTTTAATGGCTAACTTTTAATAAAAAATAGGGTCACGAGCGCCTAAATTTATTGAAAACAACAAATAGACCCAAAAATCTTAATTTTTGAGCCTGATCACCACGATTTTAATGGATAGAAAACTTGAACAGCTTCCACAAATAAAATAGCCGTTTCTCGTGTCTCTTTTGCCAAATCGTGTCCAGAATTTTTAAGGAGCATAATCAGACGCGCATGTAAGCGATGTGACATGCTACAGACATTTGTCTACAGCGTAGAGGAAGAAAACGATAGGCTGGCCCAATTTGGAAAATTTGTGGCTCTTAGGAAATTCGGCGTTCTTGCGGCTTGTAAGCGTCGAAAAATCACGTTTAACTTTATTCTGTTCATTACAAAGATTTGTGGCTACTTCTGCCAGATTTTTCTAAGAATTTATCTTAATGGGGCCTGAAATAGTAAGGAAACTCCCCTACTGGCCCTGAAGCCACCAAAAATCAGAAAAACAATCGGTTTAAAAATGTGTCCGGATAATTCTGAGACACCCTGTAGTCAAATTTGGGGACCGTTTGGGGTATAATCCAAGAAATGGTAGTAGGGTATAATCGTGGGAGTTGTTTTTATGCAACAACTGGCAAACACAGGGAACAAAAAGAGAAAACGGAATTAGCATTGGTGCAACGAGAGCCGAACGGGGATACGGTAGCGGTACGTCAAAACACGCGCGCACCCGCTCGACCGGAATGCGACCTGCTACCCCACCACGCTCTTCCCATTTTTAGTACGGGTGATAGAACTGCACCACCGAACCATCACCTTGATCACCCTCGCTCCCATTTTTCATCTTATTTGTTGCCAAAGGAGGGAGATAAACGTCAGCCCAGAGAGAACTTGGTTGAAAATTATATAAATATCAGCCCTGAACCCCCGCCACGCGGGGGCTCAGCGCTGGCCCTCCCCCCGCCCCGCCTACAATTTGAATTTGGAATTTGAATGCAGAATTTTCAAATTGCGAGAAAGTCCCGAACTTCGAAATTTCGAATCCACCTGGTCAGTGGTCAACAAAGTATTTCCCCAGTGGAGATTCAGGAAACTCGGCTGGAAAAAGTGCTTTCAATACAAGGCCGAGGTTCGGAGAGCGGCTTCTGCCCCCGTATGCTTTTAAAAAGCTTACAAATGAAACAATTTCCGGTATATTGTACCGCTAGAACTTGTGGATCCGTTAGAAATTCATCAGTTTTTGAAGCGTATGGAAAACAAAAAGTGTTGTGTTGCGTTCTTTACTGTTTGAATCTGGGGTTAAGTAAAAAAATCGATTTATTGACAGGCCTTCCACAATGGAATGTAAATACAAACAATGGGGGCTAATCGGGCAAAGTGCTCCGATCTACTTCCAAGCCAAGAAGACCTCCGAGGAGTCCGCTTCCACCGTTTCCGCCGAGAACTCCGCCAAGAAGTCCGCCAGCTCCTCCATTTCCACCAGTGAGACCACCAGTCAATCCACCGAGAAGTCCTCCTCCATTTCCGCCAAGAAGTCCACCAAGCAGACCGCTGAGAAGACCAGTATTATTGTCGAGGGCATTTCCGAGAAGTCCAGCTGCCAGACGGCCATTAAGAAGGCTCAGGAGAAGACCATCAACAACACCAGGGGCTCCAGATGGGCCACCGATCAGACCTGAAGATGATCATGTATTTCTCTCTCTACCCCCTAACTACTTACCATCGAGAAGCGGATTTCCGTTGGCTCCAAGAAGATGTCCGAGAAGACCTCCATTTCCAGCCAACCACGTGTCAAGGCTAAAGGATACTGTAGCTAGAGCATTCTTTAGTATTCTTACGTGGGAAGGATATCAAAGACACTGCAGAGAAGATCAGACACCTCTCCAAGAAGTCCCTGGTTGACCTTGTCGAGAAGTGGCTCGGCAGTCTGGAGGATTTGAAGGCACAGATTCGTGAAAAGAGCGCTCTTTCCAGCCAGAACACCTAGAAAAGGATGGATTGTTGGTAGATGATCATACCAGAGATGAGGTACTCAGCATCAACATTGAGCACGAGTCCACAGGGGCCATTTGGCACAATCATCAGGGATGGAATCTCGAGGGTTCCCTTCAGAATATCAAGATGTTCCAGGGTGTAGGCATCAACAGTTTGTCCTCCAATGGTAGTGGTTGTCTTGTTGAGGATACGCAGTTTGGAGACTGAAATAGAAAAGACATTTGAGTGGAAGGGAGTACAACTCACTCCAATCAACAGCACAAGCGAGTGCCTTGATGTCTCCGATTGGGTTGGGGCACTGGAGGCAGTCAGTGGCCGCTTGGTCGTTTGAGCCGAGGCCCAGTTGGGCTACGGTAGCCGAAGCAAGGAGGCACAGGGTGGCGATGCGAACCGTGTACGACATTGTGCTAAAGTGTAGAGGTGGAGTGCGATTTTCAGGAGGCCTAGGGCTAATTTTTCGTACGTTGTAAGAATGCGAACGTTATAGTGAATATTTGGATCTAAAATACTTTAGACTGGGTTACTGCTATTCATAAAATCACATCCTAGTCAAGCTACGCTATTCAATGCTGCAAAGGTGAGTAGATTTACTAGGTAGAGAAGAAGAGATGAAGAGCTCGAAGCTGATGCTCACTGCTGCCAAATGAACGTTTTATACCCGCTCCGAACAATGGCATTATTCAAAACCCATGTTATTTTGCGCGACTTTAAGCAAAACAAGTCTGCCGTTCTTCCAAGGCTTGGACATCGCGACCAACGGCCCTGGTCCGCCAAATTGAAATTTGCGACAATGCCAAAGTCCAGGCAAACACGTTCCAGCTTTGCCTTTCCAAAATACCCAATGTCCGACTGACCGCCTGGGTTGAACGGTAGCCAACGGGCACAGCGGGGCGGCAAAAAATATTCAAGCTTGAGTTCAGCTAGACGTGTCGTTTGTTTTGGTGGGACATTTGATTTCGAAAACACTGTATTGCTAGTGGAAGCTCGGAGATTAAGTTTGACACGTTCCGATTGGTATAAAAGCTACGGGCTTACCCTGGTCAGCATCAGCTTCGAGCTCTTCATCTCTTCTTCTCAACCGAGTAAGCTTACTCGTCTTAACAAAAATTTAGTCTAGCTTTTCCTAGCTTACGACCAATTGTTCATAGTATTCAATACGATCTAATCGAACAAATATCAAGAACCGGAATTATTTTCCGCTTTTGTTTATGCTACTTTGCTTACTGATAAGTCAGTTTGACTTACAACAGCTAAAATATCATTTAACGACATCCAGAAGACTCCAAAGCTTCAAGTAACAGTAAGAGCTCCTCGACTAGGTTCACTTTATCGTTCATAACCTCATGACTCAATAGTGGCAAATAAGTCTAATAAGCCTAATTATCTTTAAAAAATTACCCACCCTTTAGCACAATGTCGTACACGATTCGCATCGCCACCCTGTGCCTTCTGGCTTCGGCTACCGTAGCCCAACTGGGCCTCGGCTCAAACGAGCAAGCCGCCACTGACTGCCTCCAATGCCCCAACCCAATCGGAGACATCAAGGCACTGGCTTGTGCTGTTGATTGGAGTGAGTCGTACTCCCTTCCACTCAAATGTCTTTTCTATTTCAGTCTCCAAACTGCGTATCCTCAACAAGACAACCACTACCATTGAGGACAAACTGTTGATGCTTACACCCTGGAACATCTTGATATTCTGAAGGGAACCCTCGAGATCCCCTCTCTGATGATTGTGCCAAATGGCCCCTGTGGACTCGTGCTCAATGTTGATGCTGAGTACCTCATCTCTGGTATGATCATCTACCAACAATCCATCCTTTTCTAGGTGTTCTGGCTGGAAAGAGCGCTCTTTTCACGAATCTGTGCCTTCAAATCCTCCAGACTGCCGAGCCACTTCTCGACAAGGTCAACCAGGGACTTCTTGGAGAGGTGTCTGATCTTCTCTGCAGTGTCTTTGATATCCTTCCCACGTAAGAATACTAAAGAATGCTCTAGCTACAGTATCCTTTAGCCTTGACACGTGGTTGGCTGGAAATGGAGGTCTTCTCGGACATCTTCTTGGAGCCAACGGAAATCCGCTTCTCGATGGTAAGTAGTTAGGGGGTAGAGAGAGAAATACATGATCATCTTCAGGTCTGATCGGTGGCCCATCTGGAGCCCCTGGTGTTGTTGATGGTCTTCTCCTGAGCCTTCTTAATGGCCGTCTGACTGCTGGACTTCTCGGAAATGCCCTCGACAATAATACTGGCCTTCTCAGCGGTCTGCTTGGTGGACTTCTTGGCGGAAATGGAGGAGGACTTCTCGGTGGATTGACTGGTGGTCTCACTGGTGGAAATGGAGGTGCTGGCGGACTTCTTGGAGGAGTTCTCGGCGGAAACGGTGGAAGCGGTCTCCTCGGAGGTCTTCTTGGACGCAAGTAGATCGAGTGCACTCCAAAGTACCACAACCCTTGTTTGTATTTACCTTCCAATGTGGAAAGCCTGTCAATAAATCGTTTTTTAATAGATTATCTATTCACATGGCAAAAACAGACAATAGAGAATAATTTCTAGGCTTTCATTCAAAATTAAATGCACGGTAATCGGAATGGTAAATGGCTCGGACAATCTTTTTCGGTTCTCGCGTTTGAAAGCAGTTCTTTCTTCATCTCGACCTTTTTGCTAGCGCTCTTCATGGCATGCAACGTGCTCGACATGGTCAGGTGGTTTAGCGCCTAAAACTCTGTGTTTCAAATAATATTTTTGAGGTTTGACCCGTTCAGATGCGGCTCGCGGGACCTCAGCTTTGTCGAAAATATTTAGGAATTGGCGTCGCATGTCTTCGCGATCTTCGGAGTAGTAGATGACCTCGTACTTTTTGTGGTCCTGGTAGAGGCCGCAGAATCTGAAGGTAGTACGTTGCGAAATTGTGGGTACCTAGATACCGTTAAAGTCAGCTAACGGAATGAATAATGAAAATGAGAACAAATAGAATGAAAAAGCTTCCTGAGACAAATTTTGGATATAAGGAATGAAATTGATTTAATTGAATTATATTCAAATATGATTTTTTTAAATTTTTGAGAAGGTAATTGTCATAATTTTGAAAGCAGGGTAGTATTGACAACAGTGATGCTCTAATGAATGCCTCTTACTCGGTATGTGGAAAAGCGTGAAGCCTGACGATCGGATTCTCGGTGACAAACGACATGTGCCCGGTGTAGGATAGATAGACATCTTCGGCAAATTGATGAATCGTCTTGTCGCCGCACTGGCTGTTGGTACTAAATCAAAACTTCTATACCATTTGTTTTGTATAAACCTACACGCAAAAATGGCCATAAATTGACACGAATCGATCGATCGGATCTCGCACAACCGTAAAGAGTAGTGGCGGGTTTTTCACCGGCCATGTGGCGATGCCGTTGTGGATGAAGCTGTCGTTGAGGAAGCATGGGCTAAAACATTGAAATTATTGGTTTCCGAATTGGCGATGCTCTAGTAAACGAAGCCTACTTTGCCCCATCCAGGCCTGCATCGAATTTCTGCTCAAATTGGATGCCATGCAACATCCGGAGGAGGTCGCAAAGAATTGTGTGGATGATGGTAGAGCCAGTTTTGGGGACTCGGCAGTAGGTGAGGCCGATTCCGGTGTCGTTCTAAACGTGATTAAGGATCTTGGTATTAGACTATTAGCGGGGGGTGATATTTTTATACGACAGCTTATCGCTAATTTGATTTTTTGCCTATCCTTTACTGTTAGAAAATAGATTTTGTTATAATAGCGTTTTTAGGCGTTTCTGAATGCCAGAAACTCACAAATTTTTATATCTTTTGAAATTTCAAACATTGTTATAATTTTTCCGTGTAATTTTTATAGCTAACAGGGACTTCAACTGCTATACTGAAGATCAGTTCTCTTCCCTTAGAGGTTTGCGGTATTAGTTCAGACAAATGGATTCCACCCCCCGCTAACAGCCCAATACCGGTATTTTACATTGTAAATATACACAATTAGTGTTCAAAAAAATGTAAAACATTCTGGTTTAAAACCTCACCAACGCTTTCGGAATTGTCAAATTTAGCTCGAGATCATGAATCGGCTCCGTGGCTTCGATGCTATGTAGTAGAATTACAGGCGTCTTTTCCGTGATTTCCCTGTGTTCAGAGCTCTAAAAACAACTGTAAAATGAGTGTGAAATCTTTGAAAACCCATTAAAAATCCCAACCTTCCATGCCGGCGCTGCATCCAGAATCCCTTCTTGGTGTACCGTCACCAAATTCTCTTCTGTCGTTAGTAGCAGCCCGGAGCCCAGGTACAGTACACAGGCCGCCAAGATAAAACCCGCAAAGTACGTTGTATTCCGGAATGCCGGCGATGCGGAGTGTTTTTGGAGTAGCGGAACGGACAGGTAAGAGTCCATTCTAAAAAATCTAACTGTTGGCATTGGCCTGAAAATTGGCCGAGAAGACTTCCAAATAAGCCAATAAAACCCCAGGAATCGATTTAAAACGTGGCCAACATGAGGGCTGGAGCGGAACAGGTACTGCCGGAAAAGCGGATCGAAAAATTGTACACCGGCGCGGGACGTGGAGGTGGTCAGGCCGTACGTGGGGGCACCGCCGATACAATCGCCCGCACTTTCGATCCGCCGTCGGGTACCTAGAGACTTTCCAGGAGCAACCCAGGCCCACCCAAATCTGATCGTCTCGCCTTGGGTATCCATGAAAAACACCGCGATTCTGGAGCTACATGCCGGATACGATGAGGTATCGGACGGAGAAGATGTCGAACCGAGTTGGGTTGACGATTATTGCGTGCAGGTTGGTTGGTTTGATGGGGTTTAGCTTATGTAAATTATTGCATTATCGGGGCAAAATAAATTTTTGCCGAGTTTGAATAAATTTACATTCAAAGTGCTTTTGCATTATCGGGGGACCGAATTTTTTTATGCACACAGAAATTCCTAGCAACGTAATATTAAAAATTTGGTAGTGTTCTTGGAAAAATCAAACTCAATTACTTGTAAAAGTTTACCGAAAAAGTTCGAAATTAAATCAATTGCAGCAACCCTGGAAAAACCATTTTTAGCCTTGGTGTCGTGTTCTTCGTCGCCTGTCGCTCGGCATTAAATTCGTTGGAAAATGATGAACCGAACGTGCTTGCGGGGTTTGTTGCGATACCTTGAAAGCCATTAAATCTGGAAATATTTAGTTTTGAGTACGATCCGAACGACAATCGATACCTAGAAGCTACCATTGGGTCTACATGCAAAGAGGTACAAATCAAACGATAGTTTAATCAGCAAACCCCTGAAAAATCTATTTTTTAACAAAATTTTATTTAAATTTAATAATTTATATTTTCCTGACTATGCTCTAATTTAGTGAACAATCAATTATATTCATTCCAGGTGGCAGTAAACTGGCAAAACGTCCATCTATCCGGGCCCATGAAGCACAAGACGCGGAAACCGAGCGAAAAGTTGCTGCCCGATTTCAGCCTCTATGGAAGGGTTGCTGTCTATCCAGAGTACGCCTAAGCCTTCATGCCAGTTCTCGTTTACAGTAACAAAATGGAAACCCTACGCACGGATCGACTGTTTTGGGACGATATTGACATTCGGATTGGGTTGAGCCGGAGGGAGGCGTTGGCCAAAAATGATCATGGCGGATTTGGGGGTATGTTAATTTTTATCTGTTTTGAAGCTTTCTCAGATTGTTACTCGCAAAATATATTTTATATATTAAAATATATTTTTAGTTTCTCCTTAAAATGTTTTGTTTTCAGAAGCGGCGTTCGAGGCTTTTGACCAATATCGGCATTATATCAATGGCAAGCGTGGAGGGGTTATTAATGCGCCGACATCTTGGGTAAATAAAAAACTATTTGCTATTTGGGCTCCAATTCTACAATTTCTGAACCTCGACAAGCTAGAAGAGCTTCTTTAGGAATTTTTGACGCCTACAACTCAATTTTTCAGGTCGAAGCAGCAGCTTTCCAGCACGGCGCGGCTTCGATGATGTCGATTGGGTACCGGCAAGTGGAAATCCAGGTGATTTAATTTAACCCGATTCTTTTGAGAGTTTTGTCGATACAACATAGCGCTATAATTTTTGAAAATTTTAGTCAGCCAACAACCTGACCTTCATGCACCCGCTGGACATTTGCAAGCAGCAGCGAGAGTAGGTTTTAATGCCCCCGGTTTAACAATTTTTAGCACGGTGAATTCGCTCGATTTCGCTGCGGCTTTCACAACAATTGAGAGGAGCGGCCTTGGCAGGTAGATATGAGCAATAGAAAGTAGCAACTACGTTTAAAGATTAAATCTACGTCATCTCACAAGCACTCTAAATAAATTTTATTTCCCCGTGTTTTATATGACGAAAAACGGCATCAATCTCAGCATTTTTCTGAATTTAATCTTGCAGTTTTATGACACTTTTCTGCATGGTAAGCTGTTTTACAACAATTTTTCAGGTTCAACGAGGCCCTCGACCCGTGGGGCGATTTGCGTATGATGGCCATGGTGCGGTGTCTGCTCAAATTTGACGGAATTTTTGTCCTCGGTGTGCCGTTGGGTAAGTTTTTATTATATCTTATTGCCTCTCGGTTTATTTAGTGATATCTATATTTTTTTAGGCGAAGACGCGTTGTTCTGGAATTCTCACCGAACCTACGGATCGTTGAGGTTGTCCTGGCTAGTTAGAGGTAAGCCTTTATCACAGATGGAAATCGACAAACATACTCTTTGAACTTATTTCCTTTGACCTCGCTTTTACACTTTATTATTTATACTTTGTAGGCTACAAACTCCTCGGGTCGGTCTGGGTGGAAGATGGCGAGCGGAAAAGCTCACGAGGAATTCCGCAGAAATTCCTGACCCGAGCGGAAGGCGATAAGATTATGCCGGCCATCATTTTACAAAAGGTTTTGTAGAGAAGGGATGTAGGAGAGGATTAATAAATATATATTCGATGCAGGTAGATAAAAGAGGCTCGAAAAACACTCTTCAAAAAGTTTTAACGGTTTTCTTAAATTTCTCGACAATAACATTGAAGTACGCACCCCGAAACCGTCAGCACAAAACACCAAGGCGACAAAAACAATTTTGAATAATAAAGAATACGCAAATAATAACGATGGTAAAATAGAGCCAGGGCACTATTATTTTTGCCTTGATGTGGCCTTTCCAAACCCCTATTAGCCGATTGATAAAGAAAGCAAGATGATCCAGGGGAACCAAAAATGAGCCCCCCGATACGATGATGGATCATTTGTACTGAAAATGGAATGAGCGCGTCTGGCGGACATACGATTCCGGTTGGTAGCCCCCGGAAAAGTCTCGGAGCTGCTCTAAGGGGCTTTTTTCTAGCGGTACCGTATGTTCAAGAAGTCTGCTTTTGCGTTCTATTAAAGTTTTGATTAGCTATGAAAAGTGCTTGGTTACTATTTTTCTTATTGTTGTCATTATATACACTTAATGTTAAGCATGCTATCTTACAACGAGTGTTTTTTGAGTCATCGGCAAAATCTTACACGACCTGGCTCCTCCGGTAGAGGATTGAATTCTGAACAAGATCCGGTTGTTTATTTTTGCGAAATAGCTGTCTCCGAAAATTTAGAAATATTTATGGAATTAAAAAACTAGAGACCGTCCGTTCCCATGAGTGCTCTTCGAGCAAAAAGAGAGGCCTTGGGGTGCATTTTTAAAAATGGATAAGATCAGGGATAGCTATTCCGCAAAAAAGGATAACGTAGACTTGTTGAGAATCGAATTCTGTATCGAATCAGCTAGGGTCTTAAGGCTCAAAAAACACTTCTTGTTAGCGGCAATAGGTTTCTACTACCGGATCGACTCGAAGACAAAGCGAAAATGCTTTATTTAATTTGATCTGTTAGTATCTAGCACGATAAATTTAAAATCCTCGAACAGACCCACAACCTATAATCTATAATTCTGAATTGCCGGTCCCTTTGAGCTGCTAGAAATTTTACCCTACCATGTTCCGCAGCCGCACCAACCATCCACCGTACGTCCGATCAGTTAGGCGAATCCACTCCAGAGCGCCGTCAATGAACCCCCAGCATTTTCCCCAGGCAATCTGATGCCTTTGCTAGGCTTTTGCTTTTCTGTTTGTGTGAAGAACTATCAGCAAGTGACAGACAGTTTGCCTGGGAGTTTTTGGCATCGGCTGGATTTTGCGGCACGTATATAACCCGGGGAAAGAGAATGACTGACCGGGTTACGGTAGCCGTCGGAAAGGGAAAGCCAATAAATTCTCTGAAACTAATAAAAAGCGACATTCACCATGAAATATGGATTTTTGCAGCTGCTTTATTTTGCTGGCGTCAGTTTTGCAAGTAAGCTGGGAGCTTAGAGCTGTTCTATTACCGGGGGGGGGGGAGGGGGTTGTACCGTATTCAACGAAGTTTGATCGCTAGAAATTTTCGATTCTGGGTTTTACGATTTCATTACACTTTTTTTTCTGAATTAAAGCGACACATATGCTAGCTATTTTGTTGACGTAAACATTGCAAGTAAGCTGAGAGATTGGAGATGTTCTATTAACGGGTGTGGGGTGGGGTTTTGTACCTTATTCAACGAGACCAGAATTCCTAAAAAATGTGCATTCCATCACGCTCTGTTCCACATCTTTTTCCTTTTTAGTCGAAGATGTCTGGCTGGGGCTCCAGGTCAGGAGCATGGTAAGGTGATGTTTTCTATCCTTTAGCGAACGTTTTAGAAAGAAACCGGCATCGGCCTCGAATTTTGTAAAATTCCAAAAACCGGCTCAACGATCGTGGGCAACATTCTATGCGATGTGATTCGAGAATACCATGGCATCACCTACGCGCAGAATATCTCCGACACGCTGGATGGGGAATTGTGGGTGTTAAATCGCTATCAATGGTTAGGAGTTTTGGTGTCGAAAATAGTTAATAATATTATAAAGACGATTTACACGAACTATACCTTGTTAAATGTTGCGTTTATGAAGGGGACAAATTTTGCGATTTATTGATCGGGAATAGACTACCGTTTTTATGCAACCGAATTCCAAAAAATAGGCTTTAAAGCTAATTAAAAACCAAGTAGTTGAATATTTTTATCGCCCATATATTTTATTTTAAATTCATATTGATTTTTATTTTATAAGATATATTACAAGTAAAATTTATTAACTAAAATCGAATTAATATTCAATATTCGATATTTTACAGTATAATTTAAGGAAATTAGTCAGAAAATTCAAATGATCAAAAGAAAATATATAGAATACGATCTCTGTCGGCTTCGTAAGCGCAATTTCTCTGATCCGGCTAAGTTTTCTAATAATTCTTTGGTAAAATTCAGCCCCTGCTTTGCCCACAACACCTTCAAAAGATTCAATAACGGCGTGGCAAAATGGAAACTGCAGAAAAAAGATAAAATTCGCCGTCGTCCGAGACCCCATCGATCGTTTTGTATCGATGTACGGCCATTTCTGCTTGTGAGTTATTGCTGGACGCCTTCACCAGGTTCAGGCTCTTACGAAAATGCCAAGGCCGCGACATTCACGAATTTGCCGAGAAGGTGCACGACGCACTAATGCATCGAATCTCATTTGTGAATCGTGATCCCGATATCAAACTGCATGTTCTGCCTCAAGCCGAGTCGGTTTTGTCAATTTTTTCCCTTATCTACCTTGCTTTTCAGTTTCTGTGATCTGGGCAGCAACCTGGAGCAGTACGAGGTCATCTACTGGTCTGAGGATCGTCTGAAAATGAAGAAACAATTTGAGGGGCTATTTGAAAAGGCGGGAGTACCAAAGGAAATTGTCGCAAAGGTAATTGGAAAATATCCTTAAAAACGTTATGGTTTTGTAGGTGTTACGGCATTTGACCGAGTCAAGCACGTCGCATGCGCAGAGGGACAACGACCGAAAATCGAGGTTGAAAGCGGCGATTGTGGAAACGCCGAGTACCGCGCGGCTAGTGCGCGCCATTTATTATGCCGATTATTTGGTGTTTAATTTCAAGTAGCTTTCGCAAATTTATAAATTTTCAAATTTTATGATTGAAATTACGTTGTTACGTTTCTAAAATGAAGTCCAATTGAGTTTATAAAATCTAGTAAGCTATGCGAAAAATCGAGCACTCGGGTTGAGTTCTAGATGTACGCAGATCGGCGGACGCAGATGAAAACTGCACACTCTCTGTTGCAGGGCTCTTGCCCTTAGCTACCGTAACCCTCCGTCAGCCATCCCAGGGCGCTAAAACTCTTTTTAGGCGTGGCGAGAATTTAAAAGCAAAAGCTCAATAAGTGCTCAATCTACTGTATTTCCTAGGATTGCCTGAATTTTTATTTTATTTATGTATTCTTTCAATACCGGATCTTGAGCCCAATCTTTCAAAAACTATTTATATCCAATACTTTTTACAATATTCTACAATGTTAGACTTGCCTGGGCAACTTAAAAAGCCCCAAAGACGAATTGTGTATTCCTCCGTCTATCCCCAGCCATCATCTGTCATTTGAGAAACGTGGATATCCAATCTGATCCCTCCAACTGATCAATCATGCCACCCGCCCCGTGTTTATCGAGTTCTCCCCCCGGTCCCTGGAGCGGGCTTGTGCCGGGTGATCAAAAATCCGGATCCCAGGTACTACAGTCCGCCTAGCCAAAAACATTATCTCCCCAGAATGCAGTGCGGTTCGGAGGGATAATAGCTTTTACTAGGGACTCTCGAATCATCTGGGGCCAGAATTGGCTCGAATTTTCACGTAGATGAAGCGGATGATGCCGATGAACGTCGGAATTCTCGAATTTGCTACTCGTCCTTAAAAACAAAGATTCCGGTTTCTATGCTGCTTAGCACCCCTGGAAGCAATTAGGATATCACCGTCTTTTTTTAGGTACCAAGCTAGTATGAACAGCCAAATTTTTTTCGAGAATTATTCTGATTTGATCGGTATAATTTCTTAGTATCTACAGGGTGTCCCAAAAAAAGCACGCTAAGCATACATCCGGTCAATCCCATACATTGTACAAGGGTGTATCGGACCAGAAATAACCACAATCCTGAGTTATAGCCCGATCGCTACAGTAGTTTTCAAGCTATCGCCAAAATACTCTTTTTACCCGATTCTTAACAATTTTTTCGGCCATTTTTTTGGCCTTTGCATCGATTTGCATCAACTTCCGGCTGCGAATTCCTAATTTCGCTTAATATCGGGGTGACTTTGGGTTACAAAATTTGATGAAGACAACGGTTATTTGCTTAATTTCTAGGGGTCAAGAAGGCCTGCCGCTTGATTTTCATTTAATATTTGAAGGGTCGATTCGGACGAAATCTTTATGAAAAACGCATTACCATTTTTTTACTGTATCTTGAAAATTACTGTAGCTCGCGGGCCATAAGTTAGGATTGTGGTTATTTAGGGTCTAATGCACCCCTGGTCGAATTTTGGAACCGATAGGATGTAATATGGCGAAATGCGGGAGGGGTGCTTTGTTATGAGGCCTTTTATGAGTAATTTCATAAAATTCACCAAATCCAAAACATGGGAATGCCCAACGTCGTCGACTCTATTTATATGTGCAAATTCAAGAACAATTTCGGTAGATTTTTTGGGAAGGGCGGGATCCAAAATCGTGCAATTAAGACACTAACCAGTATTTTGATTGCAAGAATATTGTCAGCTACGGAAACAAGTTCGAACCGGACCGCTGTTCAATTCCATCATTTGCCATTTCAAAATTTTACCGATAATTTATTGAGTATTTTATACATCTTTGGCATCAATGTTTAAGCGTATGGTTTAAGGCTTTCTCGACGGCTTGCTGGAACGGCTTCTCAATTCGCCCGAGTCCCACATCCGTCAGGTGACAAGTATTGTCAAAGTAGGCGAGCTTCCGAATTTTGTCGTAGGTTTTGAGGATTTGGTTCTGGCGGTCTAAATTTTCATTGCCATTGATGGATAGAACCCGAATAAAATTACTTCATTGATAATTTTAACGTATCCAAAAATCTCTGATGTTTCGCGCCGTAGCTTACCTATAAACGGTTCCGACAAATCGATCGGGTAGCAATTTTTGCATCTATTCAATACATTTCTTAGACGTTTTCGAGGGTTTGAGGTGAGAAAGGCTGGTTCCTAAATGTCAATCTTCGGCGACAATATCCAGATTTTCAAGAACATCAATTTTATATTTTTGAGAAATGGCGTTTTTGCGCTTTGCGGTTTTTAGCCAATCAGATAACCCTAAATCCGTAAGCTCCTACATCATATTTGAAGTTCAGTGTCGATACATTGCCATTTTTCTCCAAAACATCAATGAATCTATTCAGATAGTCCATTTTGTAACCATCACATTTATAGGGGCTGTCGAGTTCGAGGAAGAGCTTTTTCGTCGTTTTGCTAAAGCATGATTTTTGCTAAAAGTTATGTTGATACTCAAAGTACCTCATTCTACCAATTCCAGCCCTATATCTTTCCAGAATTTCATCATCCCGCCTTTTGACATATCTATAGTCCTGGAGCTCCAGTACATATCTTAAAGTTATTTTTATTGTTCCGAGCTGAAGGATGACTTTTTTCTTTATTATTAGTAGTTTTGTGGGTCTTACCGCAACAAAACAAATATGTAATCCGGTTGCAGCCCTTCCAGGTAGCTCATCACGAATTCGGTCTCGGCTAAGATGATTAATTTTACGTGGTTTTGTTCGGTTATTACGATCTTGTTGGTGCATGCCGATACAGTGACCAGCTAGTGAGAATAAGTCCATAGAGCTGGTAGTGGAGGGTGGAAACAGCTTTCGGACAATCTGAAGCCAAAGTACAAAATTTTATTGCGCTACCCAATATCACACGCGTAGTCCTTATATTAAAAAAGGCTTGATTGCAGTTTACCCCCCCTCCCCAGCTGACCCCCCACCTACCGTATCTCGACACCCTGTTCATCTACAGGTGTGTAAAGTATACAAAAATGGGCTTCTTGTCTGGCGAGTATTTTGGTACACTTTACACACCTGTAGATGAACAAGGAGCCGAGATACAAAAGTTGGATGCCAGCTGGGGGGGGGGGGGGTAAACTGCCCTCTAACTTTAAAAAAAACCTATTTGCTGCTTAAGTTTAGGTTCAAAATACAAACCCGGCGTCTGACTTACATGCGCTTGTTGCGTTGCCCAAGAATTTCCAATGATCACGATCTTCAAAGAGCCAGTGTTATTCTAAAAGTATGTAATGCACGATGTACGTCTTAGAATCGTTTCCACATAGTTTGTAGCTATTTTTATCGACCAAAGGTGCATTAAATGGGCTTACCTGATATGAATAATGTCCAAAAGGGGGTTTGCTTTTTCCAAAGCCATCATCGATAAATTTTCCTCCTTCCAGTCGATATACACTATTCCGGAATTTCGCATTCGCAGCAACTGTCGCATTCTCAACTAAACAGTACTATAGTTAAGTTATCGCTAAATTTGGAATTTAATGACCCAGAAATACGGTATCTCGCAACTGATTCCTATTTCCTCTATCTCGCTCTCTCTCTCTCTCTCTCTCTCTCTCTTTGTCTCGCTCCGCTCTCTCGTGATCTGTCTTTCTTCCTGAAAAACTCCGATTACCCGCATTTCCGAATTTGAATTCGGCGGAGTCAAGCCAATCACACTTATGGATAACTTTCACTGACCACATCCCGGCTTCACGATCCATTCCCGCGTCCAGAAGATCAACCAGCAGATCAGGAAATATTTCAAAGTATTATATGCATTATCATAAAGCCCGAATTTCAGAAGAGGTTTCTCGTAGATGTGATGCGCAAAAATTGCAGTGCTGAAGGTGGCAAAGAGAGTGGTGGTGGTAACTGGATCAGGAATAATTACGGTAGCTAATTTTTTATTTACCGAGAGGCTGATGATTGTAAAAATCGCCGAGGTATTCGCTGATACGCAAAATCGGAAAATGAACGAGGTATAGAGCATAAGAAATGGCGCCAATATAGCCGAAATGTAGATTTTCGAAGGTGAGGGTACTAAAATTGGTTTTATCGCAATCTCGCTCTCTCGCTGTCCATCTCTCCCACTCTCTCACCTGCTCTCTCCTTTGATCTGTGATCGGCTAAAATCCTAACCTTTTTGCTCCCTTCCATAAAAATAGCGCCCCAGCAACCGTAACGATAATCTGGAGCACCAAGTGAAGATGCTTCCCCTCAACTTGAACAGGTAAGAAGACTATAAACGTCACGAACAACATTCCCAACGTGATAGCATTTTCTTTCTGTTGACTTACACCTGGAAGTTTTACAGTGGAAGATAGAAATTTTGAGGCCGTGAAAGTTCCGCTTCTAACCTATGATCTCGGTCTCCTCCTCGTCTTCCGTGTGATACGCAGCTATCATCCCGGCCAAAAATTGCCATAGTCTTGCCAGTGGTCGGTAAAACCCGGAGATGTCGGTGGCTTCGGAGCGGTAGAAAAGCGACAATACAAAAATTAAGATGAGGATCCAGGGTCCGACTTGGCGATTATCTGAAACCGTACGTTTTACAACTCTAAAGTTTTTTTCGGCAACGTCTTACGGCAATCCATACCTTGGTAATGTGGCAATATAAGAAAATTTCGACTTCCTGATATTACCATATTACCAAGGTATCGATTGCCGTAGGTAATGCCGTAATTTCCGCAATTGGAACGTGTGTAAGCAAAAGTTTGAAAACGCGTAGGCAACGACAGTAAATTTCGCCAAAAATTGCCAAAACATCGATGCGCAAAATGCTGATTTTAATTAATTTTGTTTGATATACTTTTTAATTATAATAATATTTAGAATGTGGATTTCCAATATATAAAAATCAACCCACCCTTCAGCTTGACCCTCGATAGCAAAAATATAATCGGCGCAACCAGATAGAACTGCATCTCAACCGCCAACGACCAGGTATGTAAAAACGGCATCTTTGCAGTATCCTTAACAAAATATTACCCGCTGTTTTCTCTATATTATTAATTTTAATGTTGTATTATGCAAATACCTCTGCAAAATAGTCGCCTTCTGATTTGAGCATATTAAAATTAACGTAAAATAGTAGTGAGGATGGGTAATGTGAAAAATATCGTTTTGCCCATTGTTGGGTATAGGAAAATATCATTACAATGCCTGGAATAAACCCGATTTTGAAGAAAAAGTTTTTAATAAATTTTCACAGCCTAAATCAATACTAACCTGTCGCCGCCATCACCATAAAATACAAAGGACATATCCGCTTCATCCGCTTGTAATAAAAGTTCAAAAATAGTTCGCGAAAATTCTGCTCGGTTTTAGACAGGATTCCCATGATTAAATATGCAGAAATTACAAAGAATCTCAATAAAAAGTGTAAAATTTCATGCAAAAACTTACAAATCTACTCCAAGAAATCCCATGGCAAAAACGTGAGGCCAAAAATGGTAGCCGAGGACGGCGAGGATGGCCAACGCTCGGAGGAGGGCAACATCTTCACGGAATTTTCGTTTTTCTGGAATATAAAAAAAATCAGTCATCTTATTTTGTACAAACCATATAAGTTTCTATATAAAATTAAGCCGAGTTTTTAATTATGTCATGTCTTAGGCAAAACAGATAAACAAAGATGAGTCGTTCAAAATTCACGACTTTCTATTTCACTCTGTGAATGCTCCATCGTGAATTCGAATTGAAATTTATTCAATTTTAAAGCAATAGATAGTTTGGAATTTCTAGCAATTAAATTTTATTTAGCCGAATACGAATTTATTAAAATTAAGGTAAAGTAATGAAATACACGTATTTTTGAAAGTATTTTACTAATCGATTTAGCTGATTTTAGCGAGCTTCAGCGCTTAATTTTGTTAAACGTTATTTCAGTTTTTATTTAATAGAATTACCATCCATTTCGAACTAATCTACGCAATTTTTGGATGAGATTAACAAGGATTAACCTCGGATCGGTTGAACTGGAGCATCATCAAGCGAAATCTGATATGTAACGTCGATTAGCGGCTGCTTTTCCATTATCGAGTACAATATATGTTATGGCGCCGCGAACGTCAGTGTTCTTCGGTGAACCCCAGCCGGTCAGACGCTCGGGCAGGCTTTTCCCCCCAAGTGGCTGGTGGCACCGGCCGGGGAGTAGATTTCAATCTCCATCCTTCGGTCCGGCCAAGCTTGACCGCACGCTCAAAATGTGGATCGGTTGTTCGCGGTTTTTGAAACGTTGTCTGGGTGAAATTGGTACCAAAATTCGAGAAAAATTGAAAATGACGGAATTGAATTCATTATTCAAAAATTCAAGAAAAATTTTGATTAATGAGATTTTTGTGCGACAATCCGTTCTATCGCTTCCGCCGGGCATTTTTCGCAATAGATTACGCCATGGACAGGGGAGCTGCCGTCGCTAAAAAAAGTGGTTCTGCGGTGTTTTTTAGTTTGTCGATATAGCTTAAAATTCGGTACAGATCCCGCTTTCTAAAAATGTTTGAACGATAACGGCCGCCTAGAAATAGTTTCCGAACGTTTATGATTTGTTAAGCGGGCCTAAAAATCGGGTTTTATCAAGGAAAATTTTTGCGAAGTCGCGTACGTCCGCGTTCAGCAATTTTAGAAAGCTGAGAGGTTTGTTATGTTTCGGGCGCTATTGAATGTGCTGCGTGACATCGCAAAATTCGGAAAGCACCTGAAAACGTCCCCTGATAACACCATAGCTTTCAAAAATCCATAGTGTAACCTTCCCGGTCCCTTTAATAATGCTCGAGTCTTGACTTCCTCCGAATCTCTTACGATGAAAGCCGTAGTATAATTTCAAAAGCCTCTTTTTTTGCAAAAAGACTTATCCGTCGCCCGATCTGTGCTTGCCTCCACTCTACCCCGCTAGCTAGCCCTATACCGCGAATTTCGCTAGCAACGGAACCGGCTCGTTGCCAGCCCGCCGAAACTTGGGGGAGCAAAATAACGGGCAAGCGGTCAAAATAGTATCTTTTCAAAATAGTAATTTGAAACTTAAATTAAATTTTTTTAATAGTATTCTGAAAATAGGCGATAAATCTATATCAATCCGCAGCTGCCAATTACGATGTTCCCCTTTTCACGTTTCAATGAAAATATCAACAAAAAAAACCTTGCTATATTATGCGTTTTTGAGCTTTTTTTACAAAAACGGAATTATATTAGAACATTAATTGGAATATTTGGCTACAAAATCTCGAGAATACGAAAAGCTATCATTAATGTGGGCTCAAAGTTCGTTTCAGGACCTCTCAAAGACCAGGTCAACTGGCAGATGGCCGACGAAAGGGCGAAATTTGTTGTTGACCTCATCTCAAGTTATCTCAAGCCAGTTTTTTCTTCACGATGGCCGATAAGAGGAGCTTCAACTTTCTGAGGTTGACAGATCGCCAAAGATCGGCCGTCTACTTGAACGTGCGCCTGGAGGATAAATGTCGGTTGCGCAAGGTGGCGAAGGTACTCATGAACGTTTTGGGCTGACGATTTACTTTCTACATACCTTTCCCGGAATATCAGATCATATTTTTTAAGGTTTTGCAATACGGGCATTGTTAAAATGACCGTTTGCACCATAACAACTTTTCTAAAACATCAATTTCCTCGAATTTGGCTCGATTTTCTAAATATACGGCTTTTCGCCTTCAAATCTATAAAAATCGGGTTTAAATCTATTAAAATATTGCACATCTCGATATTTTTAGGATTCTAGATTTAAAAAGCTTTAGGTCTTTGCCGAACGGCCAGCCGATCGTTTTCTGCTGCAAACA